CAAACATCCAGGAGGTCCTTCTAGAAGGGTGCATGCTATCAAGGGCAGCCCCACCTGCACTTACTGCTCTGTGCTACACCACAAGAGTAAGAAATACCAATCCTGTGTTTCAAAAACAGTCAACTGTGGGGTCTGGTACAAATACCAGACACAGAGTGTATGATTAAAGCTGTGGTTACGGACTGAGCAACAGCAGTGGATTTCTGACCACTCTCTACATATGCCTACCTCGGTAAAGGAATGTAACCTAATGGTAAACACACAGCCACACCAAGGGAGGAAAGCTACCTGAAAACAACAACAAAGGTGCTGACTGCACCACCGTGTTTGAACTATTTCTCCCCTTTCCACTGACAGCAAAAGTTTATCAACTATTAAACTCTAAATGGAAACTCTAACAGTATGTGCATGAATATTCTAAAAGTAAATAAACACAGACAGAGAGAGACCCCGAATTACCAGTGGTTCAACTTACAAACTGTCAACTTTAAAATGCTGTAAGCCTATGCCCACACAACACTCTGTTCCCACTGTGTGTTTGATAAATACGATGTTGTGTTAAGATGACTTCTGGTCAGCCAGGGGCTACTGTAGCTCATTTAAGATAGGTTAGGCTAAGTGTTGGTTTTGGTAAGCAAGATATATCAAATACATTTTCTACTAATAGTTTTTTTTTTAATTTACAATGGGTTTATCAGACCATAACCATATCATAATCTGAGGACCCACTGTACATACATGCACATGTATACACAAAATGAACAGTATTTATATAGATACCTATAAAGCTTTTCTCTTTCACTATATATTGGACCCCACACTCAACACTTACTACCAGGAAAGAGAAGAAGGGGTACACCTGCCCCCTACATCTTCTGCTGTCAAAGAGGAAGCTGACAAGCCTAAGACAGCATCTACTTTTCTCCCAGGGCCCAGTATCCCTTTCCCAACCCCACTATGTTTGGCCAGCAGTTTAAGGACCTGCCTTTTCTGAAGTAAAATTCTTCTCTAACTCCTTAGTAACCAAATTTGGATCAGAATACAAATTGGGAGTCAAATCAGTTAAGAAAAACAAAATAAAGCAAAAAGATACAGCTAGTTATTAGGAAAAAAAAAAAACCAAGTTACAAAGCTGAAAAGATAGACCCAGTATGGAGTTCAACTTCAGATTGAGGGGTAGGAATTTAGAGCACATTCATAGAAAAGGGTACTTGTGAATGAAGAAAGGAAGGAAGCCATTCATCTCTCTAATAAGCGGGGGGGAGGGGGGGGGAGCCTAAAAGCTATTCAGGGTTAAGCAAAGGAGGTATCCGAAACATTACATCCAGAGAAAGGGGTGGACACACAGCAACTGTGGACGGTGGTCATCTAGTCACAGACACAGGACTTGGGATCGGCTTGTTCTTAGAATCTTCATATGAACGTCTCCAAAAGAGGGAAACATTAAACAGCTGACCAAACCTTAGAGAATTCCTAAGACTGGGAATATAATAAATATGGGTCAGTAATTTACAAAACAATAGCCACTTGGAACGTTAGAAAGCATTGTTTTTTCAATAATATCTAACATTTTCCAGCATCTTTTATTTACTGAACAAATCAGTAAACTATCATTGAAGATCTCAGTTTCTATGGTTTTGGCTACCTGCATCACCAACCATCCAAAAATATTCAATTGAAAATTCTAGGAACAAACAACTCATACTTTTAAAATTGCTGGCCACTCTGAATAGCATGACGACACCTCATGCTGTTCTGTTCTAAGACTCATCTCTGTCAAGGGTACATAGACCTAGGAACCATATGCCTTATCAGACTGACTGTTAGCTACTGATAGGATGCCTCAGTATCGCAATGCTTGTGTTCAAACAGCCCATCGCTTTACTTAATAGCATCAGAATGCAACAGTAGTGATACAGTAGTGGCAGTGTGTAGTTGAACATTTTCCGGCTTTATGGTTTTATTGTTAAGCATCTTGCGGCACCTAACAGAAAGTAAACTGTATCATAAGTATGCATGTTAAGGACTAGATACTATCTGTGGTTTCAGGCAGCTAGGGGAGGAGGCAGGGGTGGGTGTAGGGGATGTGTCTTGGATGTATGGGGCCCAGCCAGTGGAGATAACTTTACATATTCTCAGCCTGCGACAAACATGTGCCAGGCTAATCTTAAGTATCCTAAGATTTACTATTTTTCAGACCTGCCTGAGTTAAGTAGCTATGTGGGGCAGAAAGGACAGGCATGGAACTGAGAGTCAGGAGAGGCTCCAGGCCTGCCTCTCGCTGCAGGCTGGTAAGAGCGACAGAGTGGTAGTTCAGAAACTGGAAAACTCTTGGGTTAGGATGCTTCTAGTTCTTCTCGGCTAAGTTTATTCCTATCAAAGCAGACTCCTGCCTCTTAGACAAAATCCTAAGAGTAAAATCACACTGCTTACTTGTACAAAGAAGAGAAACGATAGCTTACTTCTCTTTTATTTGGTATTTAATTAACTCAAATTCCCAATACCCAGATTTTTATAATCCCTTCAGCCATAATCCAAGATAGCCTGGTTTTATACTCTGCTTCTTTTCATTATCTGTTTCACTTACAAGTCTGCTATGATGCCAAATATGCCTTCTGAATGAACAGTACATGGGACAATCATGTAAGCTACCAAACTGAAGCTTGCTTCCTGCTTCAACGACTGCATCTGTAAAGTGAAGATACACAATCTCTCAAAAACTACTGACAATATCAAATAAAGAACACGCAAGCCAGTACCTAGCACTAAACACAACTGCATTCAATATGCGTTTGCCCGTCCTCCAAGTGTGTGAGATGACTGTCTACAAAGGCTGCCTATGCACCCCACTGCACGTGAATGGCACATTCACTCTAAGAGACCTAGATGAAACAACGCAGCAGCACGTTTAAGTCCCGCATTGGGTCCTATTTCACAGTCTCACTTCAGTACACATGGGGTCAGCAGTTACAACGTGCCAGAGTCCAGTACGCTATGGCATAAGAACTCAGAAAGGAGCAAGACAGCAGCCTTACTTTCAAACACTCAGGCTAGCAGAGACAAAAATTACAACGCAGTCAAAAACAGAAGTAGGTACAAAGAGCAGAAGTAGCAGGATGAAGCAAGAAAGTCACACTGCTTGACAGAGCAGAGGATGAAGCTGAATAAAGAGCTATGGAGAGGGAAAGGGAAGGCATCCTGTAGACAGGTTTGCTCTGAAGGCCCATTTGCTCACTAGAACTTAGGGCAGTTTCGTTTGCCTGCAATGCTTTGTGTGTCTACTCTGCAGAGTTATTAAGATTAGAAATTATATATAGAGAGTAATCCATAGGAGACAATCAACGGTGGGCTGATTGTCTTGGGAGCTGTGCTTGCTTGCTTGTTTTGAACAGACTAGGCTGTACATGGCACAGCACACAGCATCTCTTGACCAAGCCTCAAGCTACATGTGGGACAGCTATGGTCAGGGGACACAGAACCACAGGCTGCCACTTTATATAAGCAATTATTAGGCTCACACCAGAGATAAGCAAAGCTCTCCAGGATTGCTATCTGCTATTCCTAACCAAATGGGTGACTTGTGGAGCTGAAAAGCCACTGTAATGATAAGAATCTTAAATGTTTTAAAATATTGCTCAATCTTGCAAACAGGTCCACTACATTTACACTTTACTCTTAGAGTCCCCACGCTAACTTTCTATAAAATACCTTGATGAGCCAAGCTAGTTATTAATATAGGCAATATATATTCTTACTAAGTCTTTATCATTATTCATTAATAAACAATCATACTTTGGAAATATGAAACTGTGGATGAACACACACAAAGTCATAAGTAAGATAAGGGAGTGTTATCTTGAAATTACCTTTATGTGGATTTAACTTTTCAGAACTATAAACATGCAACCAAGAAGAGTCTGCTGGCTCCAGGGTTTCCTTTAATTGTGTAGTTTCCTTATATAAGGAATTAAGTAACCTGAAAATTGTCCTGGGGGTACATAATTCCATCACATTTTTCTCTTTGAACATGTGAGCCCTGTATCAGGTCAGATTTTTACCTATAAATATATGCATATGTATACTATATGCTATTAACTTGACATCACACAAATTTTGAAATATTAATGTTCAATTGGAGTTAAGAGACTTTAAAGACCTGAGGTTTTTTTTTTTGGGGGGGGGGGTAGAGTGGGGAGGTTGTGGTTGTTTCAGAAAAGTAGACACCCTGGACTCAAACTGTTAATCCTATCGCTTTCCTGTCACTATTCCTCTTTAGAAGCCCTCTTAAAAACTCAGAGTATAAACATTTCCACATTAAGAAAACCAAAAGTTTCTTCCCAAAGCAAGCCCACAGACTGGATGAAAATATGCTGTGTACTAATGCCTCGCTCTAACAACCACAAACTGATGCTATAACGTATCTAAATTCAATTCCCAATCACCTTGATTATTGAAGGGAAATACACAGAATTCGCAAATGTCACAGATGCAGCAACTTGAGGCCAGAAGGAGACACCGACAGACAAAAGGAAACAGCAGGGAAGACAGACAACTGCTCTGACTGCTCTAGCTAGACCTTGGCCCAGCCCCTGACCCACTATAATCTACTTAGTCATCTCGCTCTCCAAAAAAGAAAAGAACGGTCCAAGCAAACAGATCGCCGTGAGCAGGGAATGGAAGTGCTGCGTTTGGTTTGAGGTTTGTCAGCAAGAAAAAGAGCTATACCAGGAAAGAAAGAATAAAAATGATCGAAACCTCAAGAAGCTGAGTGAGTGTGAGTGTGAGTGTGAGTGTGAGTGTGTGTGTGTGTGTGTGTGTATGTGTGTACGCGGGGCAGTGGGCGAGGGGGGGAGCTAATGACACAAACGTGAACTGTGATCCAGTCTGGGCACGGGCGCAACTCGCGCGTGCTCCAGCGGCCGGCACCAGGCCGGGGGGGTGAGGACGCCCAGAACACGCGTGAAGCGGGTCCCCACCGCTCCCTCCGCCCCGCGCATTACCCGTGAGGTTCCTCAGCACCGTGCCATGGGCCCAGAGGCTCAGGACCTGCTGCACCGACAGGTTGATCATCGAGTGGTCGGCGCCCTCCGCCCTCATCGTCGCCGCGGGGCGACAGCGGGGCGCTCCGGGGGGCGCCGCTCGGCGGGTGTCGCAGGCAGCGTCCTCCCCGCCGGGGAGACATCGAGGAGCGCGGGAGGGCGAGGCCT